ACATTATAAATATAATGGGAAGAAAGATGGTTTTCCTTTTCCTAGTTGCTTAAGGAAAATTATTTTCAAATTGCTTTGGAGATATGGCAGTAAATAGAAGAGTAAACTCAAGTAATCACAACAGGTATGCAAGTATACAAATATTTCAGTGCTGAAGTTTCCTTGTATTGTTATTAAATATGAAAAATAGAAGCATCGTATAAAGATATTCAAGGAAAAGTTTAGTTTGCTAGAAAAGTGGCACATTTTGTGTGCCCACAGGAGAAGATATTGGAAAAGATAATAAACCAAACTACTTCTCAGATGCATGTGCTTGTCAAGATAATTTGTGATGTTAAAGCATGATGTTAAAAATTGAATTTAGATCCACAATCATATTATTCCCCATAAGGAAGACAATACACAGTGACCATCACTTCATGCTAGAGTGTCTGAATTATAACATAGTTAATATTTTAGATATTTTAAAAATGTCCTGATAGTTAAGGCAAAGTGATTTCCTTTGTTTAATATATCTGAATAATGTCCCTACATCTCCACTTCTTTTTCCAAGAATCAAAAATAATATTTGACTAATAAATATTAGTTAATACTTATTAGTAATTTATTATAAGTATTAGCAATAGAAATAAATATTACTCTTAGAGTTCAAAGAACCCAAAGGTCTGAAATGATCTAGTCTACCATATGGTAACATTCTAAAACATCCCTGAGAAATAGTAACACAGGTCCTTTTCAACTCCACCAGAAACTCTCTACTTCACTATCCAACTCATTCCCTTATTGAATAAATCCAGTTGTTTAAAAATGTGCAGTAGAAATCTGCTTCCCTAAAACATCCACTAAATCCTTGATGTTACCTCTAGTTAGGATCTTCCCAACTTACTCTAAAATCCTTACAGAGAATCAGATGCCTACTGCAGAATCAGTGGCCTAAATAAGAGATTGGTATATATTTAAAAGAAAGGCTAGAATAAAGCAAAGTAGGTGTATATCTGGAGAAACATCATCTAATCAGCCCTCGAAAGGCCTCCCTGACTGCAATGCCCCATGGATATGGTCCGGTCCTCTAGCCTTTAGGTGCAGAAATTTAGTTTTAACAAAACCTCAGAACTGAGTGGGCTGAAGAAGCTGACTTGTCCCCCCAAAAAATAAATGCACATTCAGAACCAATGAATTCAGTCAAACAAAAATATAACTGGCCAATGGATAAGGTAGTCAAATGGCACTGTCAAAGCCATTCCCAATTTATAGGCCACATAGACATCAAATTATTTTAAGACTGTTTAGAGAGCAGAGCATCAGAACAAAAGAAATAGTTTCACTGAGCGAATATTTAATAGCATTAGACCCTGACAGTCTAGTGCATCCGTCTCTGCAATGGAGACTCTGGATTTGCTAGTTCAGGTTGGCTTCTCAGGCACACCACCCTGGAGAACGCTTGAATATGTAACTTGATTTGACTTTCAGATGCTTCTTTTGTCTGACTGTAACCATTGTCCAAAGGGAAACGTTCTTTCTTCAGACATATGGCTAGGTTTAGTCCAATTTTACACTGTCATAGTTCTACTTTGATCCATTATGTGTTGCTTTGATAGATTAATTCTCTGAACGACATCGTGTTTCCAGCTTTTGGGGGAGAAAAAAGCAGAGCTAATGGTAAACACACTTACCTATACATGCAACCCACCCTGGACTGTTCTGATTTAAGTCTCTAAACTGCCTCTAAAGGGCTCAGCCCTTTTTTGTCCACATACTTGACTTGACTTGTGGTAACGTGAGGCCATACTAACGGTAATTGCCATTCCCTCTGTCTCTGGCTCCCCCTATCTCTTTCCCTGCGAGCACCAGGATAGAAACAATATGTTTAGCAATGCTTCAGAGCACCTTGCTTCTCTAATTCTCGACTGGAGTGCTGATTAGCAATGGGCATGCAGCCCGATTAGGTCTGCTGCAAGTAACTGAGATTATCCCAGAAATGGTTTCTTAAAAGAGCAGAGACCTCTTTTAGAACAAACCATTTGTAAACATTTAACAGGAAACTGGTCAAGGATTTTAAACAAAGGTAAGAAGAGTTTCTATCATTGTCACTATCACTCTTAGCAGAAAGAGCATGACCCTTACGTTAAACATTCTTTTTTAAATGGAGTACAGAGAAATTGATGTTGAAATCATCAGCCACTGGAGGGAACATACAGATTTCCACTGTATCATGTTTATATAATTTCAAATCTTTAAATGCTTTATTATTGCTTGAATACCTATGCATAAACATCAGGATTACAAATACTCACTATGGTCCATACACTATGGTTGGAATATTAGATTTCTGTGTCTCTACTTTTCTTAATATACTTAAATTTCATTTCTAAAATATGTCTATTGCATTACTAGAAGTGGTTATATATTCAGGTTTTCAATCAACTGGTTTACTTGGTTGGATTGACTATAAATTTGTTGACATATATTGATGATTCCTCGTTTTCTTGCCCAGGGATCATTTCTTCTACTCATTTATTTTCAATTGCTCTACTTTCCTGTTTGACAGTATCCCACAAATAGAGCTTATAAGCTTATAAGGAATGGTGTAAACTAATTAGCAGATTTTATGATGGAAACAATTCCCCTCCGATGTGATCACCCTGTCTACATAATGAACTTGGTGAAAATATCCAGTTTTTAACCACACTAAGGCAACAAACAGGCTAACTCAAACAAGCTCTTGTTTTGCCCTTTGTCTTCAGTTGATAATTGTGGATGTAGTACAAATCCAGAAACAAACAGTATGGGATGAGGGATAAGTTAAAAATAAAATAGCCTTAAAAAAAGGATTTTGAGTTAAGAAAATTCTTGATCTTCTTTTGCAACTGACAGAAAGAAAAATTGCCCTAATAAAAAATACTATAACTGAAATCTCAGTATGTAACTGAAATATGGGGAAGTTACAGAAAATTCCCCTGAATGCAGGTATGCAGAAGCGCTGATGGGTTGCTAACGAACACTGAACATTAAATAGAAATGTTGAAAAGTTTGGTATGGGGAAGAAATCCAGAAATAAGAGTGAAAATCACTGCTGGCTCATTACCTCAGCAGTGGGGCCAGTAAACCCCACTGCTACAGTCACCCTTAAATAGCAGGTGTATGTTTGACTGCTTTCACTTGCAGCCCCTGGCCGTCGCACAGAATGAGTGCAGTCTGCTCCATGGATTCATGAATGACTACAAGCCATCTCTAGGTGCATCTAAATACCATGACTGCCCCACTTCCATTTTAGCCACATATCCCCATATTGGATATTTCTCTCAACACAATCCATTTCAATTGGGTGCCTGCTTAACTGAGGTGCAAATTGCTACCCTAAACACCATGACACAAAATTCCAAAGTAGCTTGGAAGAATGGGAGGAACCAAAAGAGAAAATTCTGTATATGCTTACTGTTTCCATGGAAGTGGTTCCTTCAGTTTCATGGCAATTATCAAAGTAGAACTATTATAATGCAAACAAAAGACCACCTATATAGATAGAAACACAGATATAGAACAAATTAATTATTTAAATGCCATCTCCAGTCTCTCTAGCATACTTATTGTAAATTCTTGACTGATTTGATTATGCATTAATAGTACATAATGGGTAGTGCATGATGGGTAGTAATTTGAAATATTACCCATCATGCCAATGTATGTAAATATCTCTACACTAGAAATCATTTAACATACTTAATTTATTTCAAACCTTAATTTTTTGCAGATGACACTGAGATCTTAAAATGTATACATATTTTACAGTTCTGCTTAACCATAAATAATACATTTGTCTAATTCACTAATACAAAAGGTATATTTTTTTCTCCTGCTAAATAAACTCATCATTGATGACTGTCAGGAAAAAAAAACAACTATATTCTCATGTGAAAATAATAGGAAATAATCTAGCTTATAAAAATTGTAATTCATTCTTTCATTCTCAATCTTTCATTACTGCTGACCAATTACTACGGTGTTAAAAATTGCCTTTAAGTTGACATCAAGAGAGTTATATTTCTCATGTGTCTGGGCAAGAATTTTAAAGTATGTCAGGGCTCAGACTATAGAAGGGACTCAAAATAGGCAAAACTTTGTGTTATAAGTTGAACATAAAAAGAATCAAAAGACCGCTTAGAGATGACATCACAAATATAAAAATATTTGGGTTAACAAACGTCAGAAAAATATGTTAATATCTTTATAGAAACATGAGAAAGCAAATATAACTTGTTAATGACAAAGAAAAACACAAGTTTTTTCTTTATCATAAGTTTAAGTTTCACATAACATTGTTAACATTGGCCAAATATTATGCATTAGAATACGCTATAGCAGTCAGTATGTACCGTGTTAGCACCTACATAAGTCATTCTGAATAACATTTGCTCTTTCAATAGCTTTATTTTGGCAATAAGAAAACGTATGGGTGCTAGTAAAATTCATGTTCACAGTCGATGAAAAAAGCCTGAAAGAATACATTTGTTGAAATTTGCATTTGGTTTTGGAAAACGTCTGTTTAACCATTGAACAGGGCAATATTTTAACTTTTAAGCTCCCACATTGAGGAGGTATCAAGGTACTGCAGCAATTTACTTTTAGGGACATTATGCTGGGCTTTGAAATTCAAAAAATAGGATATTTCTTCTTGAATTATTTGATGATCAATGTACAGTCTCTACACAAGAAAAATTAAAGCTGTCTGACAACTCATAGACACATTACTAGCTGTTAAAGATGTAGGAAATTGCATAAAAGCATGAAAAGCACTGGGTAATTTTGTAGTTTCATCTCTAAATACAATTGTAAAAATGTCTCTTTCAGTTCTTTCTCCCCGTTTCTTCTGAAGCATGGCCTTTTAGTTCCTGCCCTTTTAAATATTTTTGCCTACTGTAGCTTCGCTTCTTAATGTACTGGTTGATCTTACCAGGCTAAGAAGGTATTTACAGGGTGCTTGCTTTTGTCTGTATTCACAGAGAATGCTAACAAATTGGAAGAAAGCGCCAGAGAACACCACATACCTTGTCCGGAACATTATAATGGCTTCTGCATGCATGGGAAGTGCGAACATTCTATCAATATGCAGGAGCCATCTTGCAGGTAATGTGTTCACTCTTTAACTTCTAAAATGTATAAAGTAAAAATGTGGAAACCAAATTCTGGATATTTATAGAGAATTGAATGGCATTCTGCCTGAACGAGTGATCAACAGCAAAACTTTTCTCTGCCTCTCCTGCACACACACACACACACACACACACACACACACACACACTAGCATACCACAAAATGTGTGTGCCTTATGCACTAAGTACTATGTAACACTTCATTATATATATATCCTTTTCATAGAATTTTTAATTGTAATTTGGGCATTACGGGCTCCATAAAGACTCAGCCTCCTCTTTCTGAGTCGCCACTCTTTCCCATGGACCTAGAACAGCACTTGGCACATATCAGGTGCTTAATAAATATTTCTCAAGCAAATGAATGGATGAGACCTTACTGTTCATAAGATGACACAATTGCTTTTGCGAGGTCATCGTTCCCAAAGCCCTCCAGGCCTTATAATAAATATCATCAATCTTTGTTTTGCTAGGCACACGTTCTTTTCTGTGGATCTGCTATCCACAAACCTTATATAGTGAAATTATTAGCTATACCTCTACAAATTCAAACTCAGTTGAGACACAAAGAAATTGCTTGTCTGGATTTAGTTAATAAATATACATTTCTGATGAATAGTAATGGCAAGAACATAATTATTTCAGAGACAGTAAAGCCAAAGTGAAAAAAACAAATGTATTTTTATTAAAGGAATATACAAGTGACATATGATGAAATAGTTGTGTATTGCTGTACAGTGAAAGGAGTTTCTGTCTGCCTTTTCCTCTTCGCTTCTCTCTCTTCCCCTCTCCTCTTCTTCCTCCTCCCTGACCCCTCTCTCCTCAAGAACTGGAGCTGTCTTCTTTTCATGTTTTCCTTCACTGAATACACTAGCACTTTCCTTCAAGTGAAGCCAGGCAGAGTGAATCCTACGTAGCTGAAAGGTTGCTCCTGCTGACCTGTCATTCTCTGCAGAGTTGCCACTATTAAACCCTTCTGAGGCAGACAGGAAAGGTCCCAGGATCTAGTTAGGAGAAATTCAATGTGAAGTAGTAAAATAGTTGCACAAAGTCAATGACAAGTCGATCCCCATTTGTACTGTTTTTATGTGAGCTGTTTCCTTATTTCACTGTCAAATGCTAATTTTAGCACACATTGTCTACCTGAGCTTTCTGATGCGGGTTGAGTGAGCTGCAGTGTTCATTTTCAGATGAATAGCACATGAGCTTGTTTCTCAGAACTATATTGCCTACATCATAATTCCTTTTTTCTACTGAAATTTAACTCTCTAATATAAACAGACAACTTTATGACCAGCACATTAAAAAAATCACTATTGTATCTCTGGCCCTAACATTTTTCAACATGTATTTTAACAGTAGCACAGAGAATGCTTTGTCCAAAAATAAATAAATAGCCCTGTTTTTTATTCCCATGCTATCAGAAAGGAACCTTTCTTTCAAGTAGTCATATTGACTCAGGTTGGTGGAAGAACGAGTTAGGTAAAAGGTAAAGCTCACCTGAAAAAAACCTATAAAAAAGAACAATTATCCCTAGACATCTATTGTCTATTTTATCATCTCAAATTATCTACCAACCCTCCTATCTTCAGAATCTCTTATTGTTAGTATAAAAAGAAACCACATGCCTTTGAAACCAAAAAACATAAAGAGAATATTGTTGAAAATAAGTAGTTGAGAACTCCTGTCTACAAGTAGCATTTTTTTTTTAGAGAGGGAAACAAAAAGCCCTACTTTCACAAGAAAGATAAATGCCTGTAGGCCAACTGTAAAAATGAGCCTAAGAGCTTCAATTAACCGGACACTATAATTTCTTCCAGGTGTGATGCTGGTTATACTGGACAACACTGTGAAAAAAAGGACTACAGTGTACTCTATGTTGTTCCTGGTCCCGTACGATTTCAATACGTCTTAATTGCAGCTGTGATTGGAACAATTCAGATCGCTGTCATCTGTGTGGTGGTCCTCTGCATCACAAGGTCAGTCACTGTGCTCAATGGCCACCCAAGTAAAGGGATAGGTTGTTCCCCCTGGTCTTAATCAGGTCATTCTAATTATGAGTCTCTTCATGGACTCTGCAGCCATCCAGTCTCTGGAGCCCTAGTTCTTCAGCATAATAGCATTTGAGTAGCCAAATGGAAAGACAATTGATTTTCATGCTGAGTGGTACAAATTATTTTCCTAATATTTACATTATGATGAGGATTATTTTTTTCTAAGCAAACGTCTTTCCCCCCTCTAATGTATAATGCCAATCTTTGCATAAATATGCTCTTCTCTTTTAACTATAAAAAAATCAGTCTTCATTCAAACTATTAACAGATTATATAAATTACCAGTGTTTCCTTAACCAGATTAGTATGCCAAATGAGGTCAGAATAGATATTATACACAGTCTAGAAAAGTATTAAATTGTATATTTCATTTATGACATAGATTTCCAAGTGTAACTCTCAGATACAATCATTTTTAACATATTTGATATAAAAAAACAAATACAATTTTATCTTAAATTAACAAAATAGCTTTTAATCACAAAATTCAAAGAAAAATACAATGAGGTAAAATTCTGTTATAGTACATGAAAACCTTCAATGCGTGGGAACACACAGTAAATATCACATTTTATATTTTATATAACACACAGGACAACCAAATAGTAATTGTTTCCTATAGAGCTAGGTTGAGAGAGATACAGAGATCTCATCCAGTTTCAACAGGAAGGGAAACCATGATTAATTAGTGATGCCTGACATTGGGCTTGGTAAATAAGTGAACCCAGGTACTTGCTTAACTTCATTAGCATGTAAATTCATGGTAACCAAGACTTAGATTCTAAACCAAACGCATATTATCTATGCCCTGTCTATCCAGAAATATTATTGAAGATACTTTTTTTGAATCTGATTTCACTGTCCTTGAGAAAAAATTCTAAGAAAGTTTGCAAGAGTTTTGCCAAATTCAGAGGCATTTAGACTTTCACTCAATTTATACAGCTCTACCATAAATCAGAATGTTTCCTAAAAAAATTATTTTCAAGAGAAGGAAATGAAGGTTTGATATCTTTGGAAAATAAAGGCATACTACATCTTCAGTCTCTGTATTTTACTACCTTCTTTGAGGACAAGTGTGGCATTTGCTCTTGAAAAAGACAAAATATGGTTCATAAATCCTTGCCTGGCCTAAAGGCTTAAGGGAAGATCATCGACTGGAGCTTTGTGCTGCTCTCAGCCAAGTTGAGTTCATCAACTCAACTCGCACATTTAGATGCCAAGTGAGTCAATGGATTATATTAAAATAGGTTCTGGGGAACATAAAGATGACTCAAGAAACCAAAAACACTGAATATAAAAGAAAAAATAGAAAAGCGTCTAAAACGCAGGAAATGGTACCATATTACTCTGAGGATGCTGAGCCTTCTAATATCTTAGCAATATCAGCACATGAAAAACAAAATTCATGTTTACTAGATCTAATCTCATGACAATTGGATTTGCTACTTCATGTGCTGACAAAAATGCAAAATTTTAAGTACTTTAGCAGATGTTTTCAAGTCTCTTATTAATCACAGTTCCATTCCCATGCATAATAAAAACAACTGGAATACGTAGGGTTCTTACCTCACCTAGAATTGTGTGTGTATATGTGTTTATATATATATTGTATATGTGTATACACACGTGCATTTAATAACATTATGAAGAAGGAACATTTATCCTCATTTTTAAAATAGGGGCTCTGAGTTAAGTTAGCAAATTGCTGAGTTTACACAGCTGAGCATTAAGGGCCGAAATGGAGGTCTGCCTAATATCAGAGACTGTTCTCTTACCCGCTGCCCTTACTGCCCCTTGAGTGGTCATGGTGCTGTGTATTCTGATGCTCAAGGCAACCTAAACTGAGCTCCACATTATAGCAAGTCATTTTTTCAAGGCATATGGTCATTATCATTGTCCATGTTAAAATGAAACAAAATCCATCTTCCATTTACTTTTGAGGATGAGAAATAGCCATAAGCTAAATTTGCATTATAGTAATGCATTTTCTAAATCTGCCCCAGGACATCCAAGCCTTCCAAAGTCTTTCTAGGAGTCATACTAGTCAACAAACCACAGTGTTCCCAGTGTGGATTCATTTCATTCACTTGAAAACATTCTGCTCAAAACCCAGACTTTCCAACTAGGCCATTCCCCCCACCAGGCCTTTCCTTCCTGGTGACTTGGCCACACATGTCTGTCAAGACCTATTCCAAAATATCTGTTTGCCAAAAGATTTGCAAAATTATACCAAGCAGAAGTCCCCTTATTCTCTGGAATTTTCTTTTAATCTCTTCATCATGTGTATTCTCCTCTTTTCTACTTCCCTCTTCTTTCTTTTCTTCTCTTCCCGCTTTATTTTTTCTGATTTCTTGCCATCATTTTTACTGTTTTAGTCAAACACCTGCCCTTCTCCTAAAGACAACATGTGTTATAAAAAATATAAAGATCTAGAGACATGTTCTGCAATGAAGAGTTGCCCTGTGAGAAGATGAATTTTCAATCTTTTTATCTCCAGCTCCAATTTACTTAAAATGTGACTTCCAGCTCCATGTTCATTTTGACAGATCTACCCTCCCCCCAAAAAACAACGTATCTATGAATATATGTACATACTATATATTTTATTTATATATTCTCTGATACCCCACAGCCTATTATAATGGATTTTTATGAACTTTATGTTGTTGTTCTTATTTGCATCATCAAAACATTCTTTTATTACAAGAGAAAGTATACTAGATCAGTGCTTCTCAGATAATTTGATGGAATATTAGCTTTTTATAGAAGCTAAATAATTGGTACCAATTTATGTCCTTAGCTTATAGTGCTAGTGTAGAAAAATGATATTAGGCTGGACCAAAATAATATCTGTTTCCATTACATATCAGATAATAACAGATGGCTGATTCTCTGGTTTGATGGGATTTAAACTTGTAGCACTGAAATGGCAATATAACATTCATCCTTAGGACATTTAAAATATAAAATTGTTGAAGACCTTTAAAGTGAGATTAGATGGACTCACGACTTACTTGAGTGCATTATGCTTAGTCATTCTTTGTGCTTTAACGAGTAAACCATTGAGGACTAGATAAATGTATTCCCTTCAACTTCCGCCTCTGTTCTTCAATTTTCCTCAACAGATGCTTAAAGATAACTGGAACTCGGCTAGTACTAACAATAAATTCTTTAGTCTGAAATATTTTCATAACTTGCTTAATCCACAACTTCACTCTGTGATTATAGGACCCAACTTTAGGTGATAGCACTGGACTAAGATCTGTAAACTTTCCAACCTTCTAGGAAGTGCCCCAGAAGCAACAGAATTCACAGACAGAAGCAAAATACAGGGCACTACAGTTCAGACAACACAACAAGAGCGTCCACAAGGTTAATCTAAAGGGAGCATGTTGCACAGTGGCCGGACTACCGAGAGCTTGGACTACACGTACGGTATTATAGACAAAAGAATAAGAAAAGAGATCTACACATGTTGCCTTGCATTTGTGGTAATCTACACCAATGAAAACATGTACTACAGCTATATTTGATTATGTATGGATATATTTGAAATAGTATACATTGTCTTGATGTTTTTTCTGTAATGTAAATAAACTATTTATATCACACAATATAGTTTTTTCTTTCCCATGTATTTGTTATATATAATAAATACTCAGTGATGAGAAAAAGTTGGCATTCTTAAATTTGCTGTATCTCATAACTGTAAATATAATCAAGCTAGTACAATCTGTGCAGATACCAGTATTTCATTTTTCTCCACATCTTGAGACAGAACATTAGTTTATATAGGATTCAGTGGCTAGGTTTTGAGTGATTTCAAGATCAAGGGAAATGATGGTTATTGAAAAAGAGAAAAAAATAATTTAGTTTATATCGAGTGAGGATAAAATATTTCAGATCTTTGAATCATCTCTATTTCATCAACTTTCTTCCATGGTCCTCCATTTTCATCCCCAGAGCAGAAAAACCTGTGGCATATAAATTAAATCAAAGAAGAAAGGAAAGGAAACTGTTTTATAACCCATACAGGAGAGAGAAAGAAGATATTGGTTTTTATTTAGGAAGCATCTTAGAATCTCCCAGTTAACTATATATATCTGAAGGGTCCTGAACAAGTTACATTTTAGGAATACACAGAGCACAAAATCTATTCCATTTAGGTGAGCAGAATTAACTACTAAGGGAAAAATTTGATAACATCATTAAATGTGAAAAACCAAAATCACGAATTCTCAGAAGCACCTTGCTATATTTATAGTATATAGTTCTTTAAAAAGAAGTTGGAATCACAACCAAATACCTCATGAATAGCTTTATGGCTAATGTAGCACCATTATTTGAAATGGAACTAAGATGATGGTAATACTTTATAAAACAGAGAAATATGTTTTAAGCATATTTATATGATGAAATAGAAAGAAAAATGAGTACCATAACATCTGAAAGAGCTTAGTGGGAAGCTGATGGATTTTTGATCATACAAATAGATAGGGCCACTTTGTCTGGAAAAAAATTAACTGAAAATTCTCAAAGAGTAACATCAAAATAGCAAATCAAATAATTGCCTTTTTATTATTTAGTTCTTCATAGCTTTCTGTGGCTAATATAGTAAATCTAAATAAAGATTTTTTGTCTCCTTCAAATGACCTCTACATGGACTAGAAGAAATAACACTCCTGTGTCAAAAAAAAAAAGCAGACAAGTATCAAATCAACACATTCTGAATATAAAATACTCAGTAAAAATGAGGTTCCTTAAGTGATGTTTAAGATATTTGCTAAAACACAAAGATAGGACAACCAAAAGAGGATTTTTGACTCTGTGTAAAACCTGGTTTTCTAGGTTAGTCATTATACTGAAAAGTGTGAATCTACTGGCATAACCACCACTCAAGTGTTTCCATAAATCAGTCCTATGCCTCTTGTACAAAACAAACTCTATTTAAATGTCTGCGTGGAATTTTAGTTTGGTTAACAGGTGCAGAAATGTTATTAGCCCTGATCTCCTTTGTAATTCAGGAGTTGTGGCATACAAACCCTTCTTTCTCCTAAAGGAAGTGCAGAAATGGAACATCACAGGGCTTAGCAGAGCTTAAAAGAAACAATTTCACTGACTTTTACTTGTAAGTATGAAATGACTTGCTTTGTTAAATACTTATGTATTATTTTGCATGATTTTTTATCAGAGAATCTTAAGCCTAAGTGTCAGAAAATCCCTTGGATTTATTAATACAGTACATTCCTATCCACCTCCATGCTCACCCACTTCATGAAAGAATCCCTTTTAAAAGGTGCAATAAGAAATTTTAAGTGAGCATGTACTGTGTGCCAGGCACTATTCAAGATCCTAGGGAAATAAAAATGAAACATAATCTCTATATAAAAGAACTCACAATCTCGTCCTTACAGAGAATCATCCAGCCTCTACTTGCATATTTCTTATAATTTGGAATTCCAGTCTTGGACAACTTTAATTTTGAGACTATTTTTTTCTCATATTGAATTGAAATTGACTTCTTTATGGTTTCCACCCATGGCTCCTATTTTTTCCTCTCTGTAGCAAAGGAATAATGATTTATGTATTTTAAACTATTATGACAGATGCCATGTTTTTCCACTCGCCCCACGGCCCCTTTGCAAGTACATATTTTCTTCTCCAGCTGAAACATCCTTAATATCCTCATCTGATCTTCATGTAATATGGCTTCCACATCCCCCTAGCCTCTGTATCAGCATCACCCTTCTTTAGAAAAGCTCTACTTTGTTAATATATTTAAGTGTAGAGCTGAATTGCACAGTCTACCACAGTTGTGATCTGACCAGCACAGAATATAGTCGAACTTGGAGAAAGCAAATTTAACAGAGAGCCATGATCTCTAAATTCAGGCCTTACTTGGACCACCGATTTGCTATGGAACCATGACCAAGTCATTTCACATCTGGGGTCTCAGTTTTCATATCACTTCTATCTCTGTAATTCCAAGATTTAGATATTCAAAAACCAGACACTACATTTTATTATTGCTATCTAAGACCCTATTCACTATTTTCACTGCTTGTCCTCAATTTAAATTCAAAACTCTTTCCAAATAAACTACTATGAAGTCATGTCATTCACTCATTCATTCATTTATTTAACCATTGATTCATTATACATTTATTATACATTATATTCGTACTGAGGACCACCAACTACCAGAAGCATAGTAAACTATGAGAAGGCAGAGATGAACAAGACAGAGTCCGGGCCTAAAAGGAACTCTATCAGATCATCCTAGTTCCTTGCATCAGAGGTCTCACAGGCAGAGGTAAATTTAAAATTATATTTAAAAAAAAGGTAACAAAGGTTCAGTTCAGGGTGCTTAGGGTCTCTATAGGAGGAATCTCCTCCCAGTTGGGTAGATAAGCTCTTCACAGTGACATATACAGGTTGAATTCATTATTCTCCACCCAAACTCCAACTTCTTGCTTCTGAGATTCTGTCCACTCCTCATGCTCTCGTCCCACCTTTCTTCTTTCCACAATACCCAGAACAAATAACAGCTTAACGGTGATGACTCCATGACTCCCTTGGCAGTCTTCCTAATTCTGTTATGGTATTTTCCATGTTCTTTCTTAATTGTCCGTGCAAGCCTGCCTTTCTCTTAGCCTGGGAGCAAAGAGAAGGCAGAAAATCACTGCCTTGCCAGTTGTTTCCATTTATTCAACAAACATCTATTGGGTGCCTACATCACACCAGACACTATTCTAGGTCTGTTATATAGCAGTGAAGTGGATAACAGGTCTCTGCTCTCAGGTTTACATTCTAGCACAGTAGGCAGAAGTGAGGATTAATCAAACAATGCACAAAAACAACTGCAAAAAAGTAAAACTAGAAAGAAAAGTTCTATTCAAAGAACTAAAAATGAAATGAGGTGATTCAGGGTGACTGGGTGGTTACTGTCCCTCCAAGGAGAGCATAGTATTTAAAACTTGGCCTCTAAAGCAAAACAGCAGTGGGTCCCAGTCTAAGCTCCACCTGACTATTTAACCTTGGACAGGTTGCTGAATTTCTTTATACCTCATATTTAAAATCAAAAGAAAAATGTCTTCCCCACACCCAATATGGTTTTTGTGAGAAATAAGACAATCCATGTGCTTAGAACAATGGCATGCACAGAATAAACTTTTAATATATGGAAAATTTTAGGGATATAATATATATTTGTTGTAGAAGTAAATAAGAAGAGTAAGCCATATTTCATCAGCTAAATAAAGCATAATAGGAATCATGTGGTCAGAGTTAGATGAACCATCAATCATGCTTATTCAAAGGAGTGTCTCACATATCTTTGGAGATAAGAGAGCTGGTTCTGGAAAATCAGGCAGTATAGAGTTAAGAAGCAATACAGCTCCTCTAATTTTTTTTCAAATGGATCCACTGATTTCATATCTGAACAAGAGGAAGGGATCATTCTTTCATTTTAAAAGAGGTCTGTCCTGAAAAAGCATATACCCTTAAATCTCTTGTGTGTTTCTAGGCACAGGATGAGTGAGTCAATATTGCAGGGGCTTTTCAGTACCAAATTCTTTACTTTTATGAATCCTTGAGGAGACGTCAGTACAGACTATTGAAATATGATAGAGATTATCTCAAAGTCATGTTAGGCTCTCTACTAATGTTTATCTTCAGATGCTACTTCCCTTTTCCAAAGCCATGCAGCACCTGCACCAACTATTACTGTTCCTCAATTACTGCAAATATTTTACTTATATAATTAATCATGTCATTAATTCTATGTGTAACAAAATTGTTTTGATATCAATAACAAAAACCTTTTCATTCAATGAATTGATAACTTTATATGAGCATCCATATTACAAGAAAGATGAAGGACTATAGAAAATAATGATTTTTTTTATAACCAATGCAGAAATATACAAATGAGCATGGCCCTTTGAAATCAACAACAGGAAGATATATGTGATATGCAGTCTACCCACTCATATTTAGGCTTCCTTCCAGCCCCACTGTGAACAAAATTATACTGGGCAATTTACTCTGGAAATGTGACCTTGATTGGTATCTATCTCCAGTAATACTAAATGAGTTATTTTAATTTAGATTTTTTTTTGTTTACTTTTAACTTTTTAATTAATTTGCATTATTTCTCTTGCGTCATGTTAGAAGTGAAAAAAAATAATATGTTTATTTTTCCAAACCAAATTTAATCCAACACAAGAATCTAACTCAACATTAATGAGGCATCCAAAATCAGGTATTATGAGGGAGAGGGAAAAGGGGACAGGAGCAAGTCCTGGCTTTCTACTCCTAGTGACCTCATTGCCATTGCGAAACCTTCCAGTCTTCCTGATCCATCAGTGGTATTCTTTCCCCAGTGCTCTCGTAAGGTAGCAGCTCAGAGGACCCACACAGTCAATCCATTATGCAGGGTGCATTTTGAGGAAGCTCTTTGAACTTTCTCTCTGTGAGTATCTCCCCTTTCTGGACTTTCTTCCCTTCTCAAGATCCTAACCACTTTTCCCCTTCACCTCATGAAGCTTCCATCTTTTGTTGTAGCCTTTGCCACAAGACAGCTTAATTCTCCTCCATGGACATAAGCCTTGAAAACAAAGGCCTTTCGATGAGTCCAACTATAATTACAAACACAGAATAATGTCCCAAATTGTCACCATAGCACATCAAATTAGTAATAAATATATAAATAACACTTGTTTAACTAGTAAAATTAGAAAATATGGACAAGCCAGAAACATAAAATAATCCCACATCAAGAGATAAACACCATGGTGTTTGTGTATATCCTTTCAGATATTTCTGTGAATGTATGTTGAGGTTTTCATAAGGAAATAAAATAATTTTTAATAGACCAAATTCTCACTAAAGAATAATCACAAAGTTTCATAGCCACTTAAGCATAATTTATCAAACTATACCTATGTACAGTGTGTTTCTTGTGCAAATTTCAACCTCCTTTGGTGAGGCATCGGTGAGACATTCAAAGAGAGTTGAGCTGTGGATCTCTAAATTACCTGTTCACATCTTTATCTTTCATTCTCCCATGTCATTAATTTTTCACCATCTCCCATACTACTTACAAGGTATTCTCAGTCTCGCAGTCTGCAGCTATCCAAAGTTTACCCATAAGACATGGAGGTGCCATTGACAGAGTTTCTCCTTAATTGTCCCTGTGCCTCACTACCTGGGTCCAGACATGCTAAAACAGCTTTACCTCTACTCACCAGAAGGATGTTTTGTTTCTCCTCTCACCCTGTGGAAGCCTCTCTCTGATCCCTGGGGTAGAAAGGGGTTGACCATTTAACCATCAGCATCACATGCCTACATAGTATGTGTGCCAAAGCTGTCATTCCTCTAACAATTCGCCCTTAAGTTAAACTCGGTTCATGAGGGTGCTCATCTCTGAGCTGATTTGTTTCCCAAATGGGGACTCTCCTTCCCTGCCTTGTATGGTATGAGTAAAAAGCCATTCATTGATATTAATCAAGGCATTTGATTTGGTTCAGAACTGGGAGTTAGTGTAATTAGGGTCGCATTAAATAACAATGACAATGACATTAAGAAATGTACTTATTGGGCTGGCCGAGTGGTGCGTTGGTTAGGAGTTGGCTTGGGATGCCAGTTC